ACTTGTCCTGTTCATCTTCCTGCTGCCTCTGTGAGCCCCTTGGTGGCTGCGTTTATCACCCTCATGGATTCCCAAGTCCATAGGTATCACTGTTAAACATGACTCTGGGCTCTCACTGGTTTGGCTGTAGGGGAAAGCTGTGACTGCTTATCCTGGCCTCAGTGCTCAGACCAGGAAGGAGAGTCTCCTCAGAAGGCCAGGGTGGTCCACACTTTGGTAAGCTCATATAGGAGTGGCACTGGGTGAGAGTTCGGTAAGAGGGGGCCGAAGAGAAGAGGGGCTGCTCTTGGGAATCAGGGTACTTCTGGTGTCATGACCTAGCAGAGCAGATGGAGCAGACACACAGGGCGAATAACAGACATGGAGGAAGAGCTACAAACATGGGGAACAGATGCTCTGGCCAGGCTTTCCATTAGGGATGCCTAACAGGAGGCTTTCCAAGGGTCTCCAGATTAACAGTAGAAACCCTGAAAACTGCTCTTTGAAAAACACTGTGATAAAAGAAACAGATTGGGTGTTTAAGAGGTAGTCTCCTTTTTGGAGAACATCACAGTCACGCAGCTGTCATTTCCCGGGGCAGGTTAAATGCCATCCCTTCAGGGACATGACTGTGTCCCTTTGTCGCCACAGCTGAGCACCACATTGCTCAGTTGATATCAAAAATAATGTTTTAAAGGAAACATGACTTAATAGTCAGCTCGGCAGGAGGAAAACACACGGCCACGGACAGTGAATCACTCATTAAAAATTAAATCAATCCGCCCACAACAGGAAACAGCAGAAGAGAATGTCAGTGCTGGCTTCATTTTGGAAGGAAGCCGAAATAGGTTTGTGAACTAGAGATTCCTGGGACTGATGGTGTGTGTTAGGAACTTCTAACATCTCAACAATATGCATTTTTTTTTTTAATCTGACCTCTTCCAAATTCACCAATCATCTGGGGGTGGGGCAGGGCCATACTGGGTGTCTATGGTTTCTAGGCATATTAATTGGGCTTCTCAGTGAGCCACATTGACAAATGAAATGAAACACCTTGTGGCTCCAAGAATGATTCCTGATTCCATAGGCTGGCTCTCAGGACGGTGGGGAGCCACCCTTTTGCTCTGCATTGCTGGGGCGGAAGCCCATGAACCTTCTGCACACTGAGCAAACCCTTAACTGCCCAGCTGCAGCCCCGGGTCTACTTTGTAAAATGGAAGTTCACGGAGCCCCATAATTTGCCTTTTCTTCTTGCCGGTTAGTGGCAGAATGGGAAGAAAACTGACTGCTTTTCAACTAAAAGTTTTCCATTAACAAAACCTTCCTTACGTCTCTCTCTCTCTCTCTCTCTCTCTCTCTCTTTTTCACAGACTGGAACAAATAGAAGTGAGCAGAGAGAAGGGCCACAGGACAGCTGCTGTCAAAACACAGATTATCAACACAAAGATAATAATTTACAAAACACCCCAGTGGGAAAGAGGACTAACATCACAGTCCACAGTCATGGCTGATCACAGCAGTCGCTGTCTGCTGGGGACCTCTGTCATCAGCCCAAATCCAGCTATCTATCACAAAACTTTGTCTTAAAGAGACCTTTGTAAAAATCCTTGCCCAGTCATTCCTTTAGACAGGAAGCTGTGACACAGGGGCAAAGAAACAAATCTAAGTCATTTGGCTCTCTCAAACAAAACCACCAAATTATCAGAGAACTGGTCTGCACTGGCTTACCTGGAGCCTTTGTCCAGGTCTCCTCTAAGCTCCTGCAGAGAGCCCACATTCGTTCTTGCTAGAGCAAGGCCTCAGACATTAGCCTTGCAAACTAAATCAGACCTAGAACCTAACACTTGTTTCTGTTTTAATGTGTGTGTGTGTTGGGGGAGGGGTGTTCATGCGTGTATGTGTGTGCGCCTGTGTGAGCATGTGTATGCATGAATGTGTATGAGGGTATGGTGGAAGCTTCTGCTCATGTGGTCAAGGGTCTTCCTCAGTCACACGTCACCTTATTTTTATCTATCTAGCTCTCCATCTATCTATTTCCTGAGACACAGTCTCTCACTGAACCCGGGGCTCACTGATTTGTCTAGACTGGCTGGCTCAGGAATCCTCTTGTCTCTGCCTCCCAGGGGCTCAGATTATACTTGTGTGCCACCACAGCCAGCTTTTCTATGAGTGCCAAAGATACAAACTCAGGTCTTCATGTCTGCACAGCAGGCACCATACTGAGTAAGTCCTCTCCCCAGGCCCCCACGGCACTTACAAACAAAACAAAACCTACAAAAACTGTATACTGCCCTGAGCCTGCAGGAGATACTGATAAACATTAGTGAGGGAGTGGACAGGCTGTGCTGGAAGGAAACCTGGGTAGGGTGTGAAAAGAGATTAGAAAGCTGAATTTGGTTAGCAGATAACACGTGGAAATCTTTGGGAACCCAGGCCAATATCAACTTGATGGTCACAAGGTTGTTCCAAACTCCAGTGATCCACCCACCAGCCACGGGTGCAACCCAGAGAACATCTTGATTTGTCAGTGTGCTCTGCGGGCTTGCACATCTGTAGAATAATATTTTTCATAATGGAATCCTTTCTTTCATCATATATGACCTCACCTCTCGGGTGATGAGCAGGAGAACTGACTGGTGATTAAGGAAGAGAGGGACTCTGCCAGTTAGAGGGACACTGGAAGGATGCATTGATATTCTTTAATGGATTTCAAACAACTCTGTGATTGATTTATTGGTCTGCTATAGGAAACGGCACATAGTTCTTGTTCAAGGGAACACATATGGGGACTGGAGGAAGGGCTCGGTAGGTTAAGAGCATGAATGATGTTCTTGCCGAGGACCTGAGCAGTTTCCAGCACCCATGTCAGATGTCTCATAATTGCCTATAGAGCTAGCTACACAGGACGCCTCTGCCCCCCTTGGGTACCTGCACCATATGTGAATGCACACACACACACACACACACACACACACACACACACACACACGGGGGGGGGCATGCAAACTGTAATGTTACCAGGTTGCTAGCTCCCACAGATCTTACTGCCTATTCTGTTGACTTGCTTCTTCAGCTTGGGTCAGTCACTCGGTCGGTCAGTCTGTGTGTGTGTGTGTGTGTGTGTGTGTGTGTGTGTGTGTGCGCGCGCGTGCATGTGGATTGATGTAGGAGCAGAGGCCAGAAGAGAGCCTCGGTTATTCTGTTCTACTACTCTCTGCCTTATTCCGAGACAGTTTCTTTTTGAGTGTGGAGGCAACATGCCACAGAGATGTCTCTGCCCTGCATTGGGGTTACAGATATAAGACTACACCTGATTTTTTATGTGGTAAATGGGGATTTGAACTCAGGTCTTCAAACTTGTGCAGCTCTTACTCATTGATTATCTCTGCAGTGCCTGTTCTGGTGGAGGTGGCAAAGCACACCCAGACTGTTTCCAAGCATGTATGAGGCCCACATGAGATAATAAATTTGAGGATGCTATACAAACTGTCAAGTGTCCTATATTGGATGTACCTTATAATAAATGAAATTTGAGCTTTAAGCATTTGATTTTTAAATCATTTAGCAAAACAGGAAACAAACCAAGCCTTGATCTCCAAATAATAATTTTCACCAACATCAGAATGTTGTTTTTTATCTGCCACTAGAAGCTGTGGCAGCTTTAACAGGCACACATCTCACTACATAGCCTAGACTGGCCTTGAACTCACAGCAATCCTCCTGCATCAGCCTCCCACATTCTGGATCACAGGCATGAGCTTCTATGCCTCATTTATCTGCATTGTTTATCATTGTAGATCAATTTGGGGAGTTGCCTGGAATCAGTTTAACATTCTAGTATCATCAATATGTTCTTAAAAGGTCACGGAGAACCAATTAGCCCTCACTACTGAACAGCACAAACCCAATCTTTCCTCTTGTGTTTGCTTATTTCTGTTAAACTATACAAATAACCCATGATGCTAAGCCTTTCTGTTCAGCAATTCCATGAGGATCCTTCCTCTAACATTTTAAATACCCTGTATTAAACTTCACATCATATTGGGTTCTGAAAAGTCAGTTCGATTGGCAGGTTTTGAAAAGATGCCATCTAATCTGTTGCTTGATGTCCCAACTGCTGTGAGACACACTCTGTTGGTAGAGATGCCATTGAGAGTAAGTTCCCACAACTATGTATCTGCCCTTCCACTTGGCACCTGACCTTGTTCCTAGTTCAGAGGTCAGTGGGTCTGAGAATTCTCCCTGTAATTCATACCCACAATGGGACTCATACATATTTTTCTTCCCCCTACTGCACTGTGAATGATGTCTCTCTCTCTCTCTCTCTCTCTCTCTCTCTCTCTCTCACACACACACACACACACACACACACACACACACACACACATACACACACACACACACACACACACACAAACACATGCAGCAGCAGCAGCAGCTAGTGCTTTTCTGTTGTTGCTCATAGCATCTGTTCCTACCATTCGGGTTCTAAGGACAAAAAAACCTCACAGAACATGGGGGCCTGGCCTCCTGCACCAAAGACAGACATCTTAAACCTGTGCCCTGCTTCAGGTACCTCCTCCTCCTTTCTCAGTGTGCCACTTTAAATTACAGTTCCACTTCCCAAGTCCCAAAAGATGGTATCAAGAGGGCCCTCCTGGTGATAAAATAGGTGGAAATCGTTTGGGTCAGCATAAAGGGTAACTTCGCCTTTGATTGCTGGTGAGATGATGGCCCCCAGACCCCTCTAGACCCCTCTAGACCCCAAAACAAACACAGCTCACTGCAAGGCTCAGTGCATGGCTGGCAGCTGGGGCTATTGAAGGACCAAACTGGCTCTGGAACAAACCCAGATTTTCTGCACAGGGCTGGACAAAATTAACAGAGGTACTTGCTGATTTTCATTTAGCCTTGATAGTACTCTTTAACATTAATTTTGGGTACTTTAGAAATTATCTGATAAGCAAGCATGACAGAAATCCAAAATGACAAGAAAGGCTCCCCTCGGGTTCCCTCTTTACCTCTTGTCCGACTGGGATGATGCATGGCAGCCATCCTGGCCCTGGGGAATCCATGTTTCTCTGTCAGCTGAAATGGATTTTGAGATGAATGTCAGGGTCTGCCACGGGTGTGGTGACAGAGACAGGAGTTTATATGGAAAGCGAAGTTCCTTTTTCCCTCCAGGTGGAAAGGGTGACTGATGGGGATTGCCTGCCTTGCTGTGTGACAATAGACTTCCTACCAGACTCCTCTGGGAAGCACTTGTAGACAAAAAAGGTGGAAGCTCCCTAGGGGATAGGACTGGAAGGCCATGAGTCACCCTCAGTTCCCAGAGTGCACTCCGGGCTTTCATGGCTTCCAGGGGTCAGCAGTGGAAGGAACTGCTCATTGCTTCCAGAAGCTCGACTAATCTGGGAGGAAGCTCAAGGAGCCAGGAACTAACAGAAAGCCCAAGTGCATGCAAAGGGCTCACAGGGGACAGGGGCCACACGCCTCACAGAGCTGTGCCTTTTTCCTGTGCAGAGCACACTCACTCTTGCTCCTTCCTCTGAGTCCAAAGGCCGGATCAGGGCAGGCAGCTCCTGCTCTGCCTGCCTAAGTCGCTCCAGACTTCCACCCAACAGCACCCCCACCTCAAAGATCAGGGGCAGGAGCTATTCTTTGAAGATCTCAGGTTATTGTCCTGCTGTCATGGCCATTCACACCAACACCACCAAAAAGCATTGACTCAGAGGAGAAACTAATCATGATTTGAAATGGGAGGGGTGAGGCACAGATCAGTGAGGGTGAGCTGGTGAATGCCCAGCTGTTTCATCGCTTTGGTATTTCCATGAGCCAATATTTGTTTTCACTTGGTCATGGCCATCCTCAGGTCTTAAAACAGAGATGCTCCTTGAGTCTGGAGAATGTACGTAAGCCTTAATTATTTGTCTCCCATAAATTCTTAACTCTTACATTCCACTGCATTAGATTCCAGGCCACAGGAACCCACCCAGCTGTAACATACTCCAGATGAAAGGCCTTTGGTCACAGATAAGGGTGACAGAATTACTTCTACCAGTCTATTGTTTTGTCTTTTGTCTTGTGTGTGTGTGTGGTCCATGTGTGTGTATCAGTTCATGGGTGCATGGGCATGTGTGTGAGCCTGTGAAGAGGCCAGGGGTCTACATCAGGTGCCTTCCTCTATTGCTCTCTGCCCTTTGCTTGGACAGGATCCCGCACTGAGCCAGAGGCTCACTGCTTTGCCTAGGGCAGCTGACTAGTGAGTCCCAGGGGTTTGGCTTGTCTCTCCCTCCCCAATGTTGGGATTTCAAGCTCCACTCCCAGCTTTTCATATGCTTGTTAGGACACGAACTCAGCTCTTCCCATTTTCACAGCAAGAACTTTATTAAGTTTATTGTTAAACACAAAAAGCAAAGGGGTAACCTTGCGTAAAAGACTCTCCCCAAATACTGGCTTTCTTTTTTGAAAGCCGGTATTAGTATAGTTTCTTTTTCTAATGGAAATTCAAGGATGATGCCAACAAAGTGAAGGCCTTTTGACATACAGTATTTTGCCTACACATACCAAGGCCCAGTTCTATGGCTCTTTAGAAGATGGAAACAGCTGCCTTGATTCTGTGATGACATTAATATGGAAGCAGTAGTGGTCAGAATAGCTGGTGTTTATGAACTTTGCTGGGGCATAGCACACTTAAATATCCCTATCCTCCTGGGCAAAGCTGGCAGAAGAAAGGAGGTTTGCTGGAGCTGGTGTGTCTATTCTGCTAGGGCTGCTAGCCTGGCTTCTCTGCAGCCATCCCACAAAGCATGGATGAGGCCTTGTGACATTTTCCAACCTCAGGGAGCATACCTGCACTGCTCAAGCAGACTGTCCGAAGTTACAAGTCACCCAAAAGCCAGTATCAGAGGCCAGAAGTTAGAAATAATTCTCTGACTATCAACTGAAATCCTGCTCTGTGCCTACTCTCAAATGTTTGCCAACGAAAACAAAACAGGCCAGAGAATCTTGCCTACAGTGCAGGAGGCACATTCCTAATGGAGGCAAATAGGCCACCTTGTCTACTCCTCAAATACTCCTCCTGTCAAAGAGAACGTTTCCTGAAGTCAAGAGCAGATTTGTGTGTGTGTGTGTGTGTGTGTGTGTGTGTGTGTGTGTGTGGTGTGTTCATGCTAGTGCACTTGCCTTTGCTGGCAAGTATGGAGACTAAAGGCTGACTTTGGGATGTCTTCCTTAATCACTTATCTTTGAAATCAAGGTCTCTCATTGAACCTGGAGGGTGCTGGTATTTTGTTGCACTGGCTGGCCAGCTACCCCTCATGATTTTCCCAACCCAGCCCACTCCGAGAACTGCAGTTGCAGGCATTCACCTCTACGCTTGGCTTTTTCTGTAGGCGCTGGGGCTTGGAACTCAGGTTCTCAAGCATGCACAGAAAGGCTTTTACTACAGAGCCATTTCCCAGCCCCACATTTTAAAAGCCAGGAACTGAGTGAGTAGCTGACTAAAGCAGAACGGACACAGAGGCAAAGTTCAGAGCCAAGAGGATTGGAGCTGCTGGCAGGATATCACAGATCCCCATTGGAAACACAGACACACAGAAGACACTTCAGCATTGCTGGGCAGGACACTGGCTTCCAAACCTCTTGCTGGGTTTAAAACATGGTTTTGGGGGAAGGGGAGCAGAGGCCAGGCAAGCAGCTGTCACAAGATCACTCATTTGGACAGCTGCTGGATCACTGATGGGCATCAGGGCAATGGACCAGGAGGCTAGGAAATCCTAGAATGGGAGGAAGGAAGGCTGGCTCTGGACAAGCCAGGCCAGGGTGAAGTGCCAAGGAGCACAAAGGTCACGTGCTTATAACCAACCAGGGTCTGTGTCCTGTGTTTCAGAAGATAAATTCATGGGGCCTGACCTATGGACACTTCAGTCCAGCATGGCAGGCACATTAAAAACAAAACAAAATGCTCAAATCCACAGTGTTTAAAGTGCATTCACGCCAACACGCATAAGCTGGCTTGGGTTCCAAGACAATAGGGATTGCTGACTTGCAATTAAACCTTTATCCCACAAAAATTATTCCAGTAATGAGCCTCCCCTTTGTTCCCACTGTAGACATTTGCCCAAGCAGAGCTGGATGCCACTCATATTGGTGACATCTAACAACTACGTAACAGGTAACAGGCCCATAAAACTCAGAATGTACAAACAAAGGGCTTCCTTCTTCCTTATCTTGATAAAGTCTTGATTATCATTGGGCCACCTTTACAAAATATAGAAAAATAGCAATGCAATTAACCTGCCTTTGATAAAATCAGGCACAACCATACTCATTTACATTCAGGTGAAAAAATACCATGAAAGACTCCTTGCTTAACACTGGATGCCTGCCAGATGAAAGAACCAACCTACCAACCTTAAGGTCTAGAACACAGTAAAAGTTTATTGTTGTTGTCGTTTTGTCCTTTGAGACAGGGTCTCATGTTGACCAGGCTAGCCTGGAACTCCAGAACGTCTTGCCTCCACCTCAGAAGCCCTGGGGTTACAGGTATATGGCAGCTTGTCCCACTTGAAACCACATTTCAAAGGCGGCTGTGCATTCAGGGAATAGAACTTCCTAGTTGACACCCTGGAGATGCCCATTAAGGGCAGCATGTGGCTAAGCATTCCCTTCTCTCCTTGTGACCACACTGAGGCCATTTCAAAACTCAGACACTTTGGGTCTTGGTGGAACATGCCCTAAATCTCAATACACAGGAGGCAGAGGCAGGAGGTTCTTGTGAATTTGAGGCCAGCAAAGTCTACATAGTGACTTCTAGGCCAGCCAGACCTACAGACAGAGACCTTGTCTCAACAAGCAAGCAAACAAACAAAACAACCTCTTAGACTCTGCTTCCTTCCTTTCTTTTGAAAAGAGGAATAGCATGTTTTTGAAAAAAGAATATGAAGCAGGCAGTGGTGGTATAGACCTGGAATCACATCACTAAGGATGCCAAAGCAAAAGGATCATGAGTTTGAGGCCAGATCTGGCAACACAGTGAGAGCCTGTCTGAAATAAGACGTGGGCTATGACATTTAAGGCTGTATTTTCTTACAGGCATCAAAGACGTGGAATTTGGCTGTTACCTGGACCCCGAAAGTGTAAAACACAAGATCCAATGACACTGATGCATTTGTTTGTTTGTTTGCTTGCTTTTTAACAAAACTGGCATTCAAAAAAGCACCTTCTTAGCAGTTTCCCACATGGCAGCAGATCTGCTTATAAGAAGGAATTCCCACCAGGTCATCATGCACCCTAATGGTTGTTGAATGTGTGCCACTGAGATAAGGCAAGGCCCTTGAGAAAGAAACAGGACAGAGAACGGAAAGCACGTGGGAACTGCTCTCAACAATACATTTCAGGACATTGAGTGGCTGAGCTATATTTCAAATGCCAGGAGGTTAAAAAAAAAAAACAAACAAACAAAAAAAAAAAAAAACGAGAAGTGTAATGTGACCCATTGAGCAAGTTAAGGCACTAAATTTGCATGTCACCCTCTGGCCATATGGCCTGTTTCTCAACAAGATAAGCCTATATAACAATTAAATCCCAGACATATTCAGCTAACTAATCATACATTATAAAAAAATTTTTAGAAAGTTGCGTACTCACCGAAGGAAAATGAGGGCTATAGCCTGAAAGAAAAAGAAGGAAAAAAGGCATTAGTTTTCTAGTAACAGTGTTGATTGCTCATTTAAGTCTCCTATTTTCAACAGTACTAGTTGCTAACACCCATTTATTTTTTCAGACTGCTTTATCTTGATGGTAACTTTTTTTTTTTTTTTCTACAACCACAGGCTTTCAACACCTATGAACTACACCAAAGCCTCCCTTGCTCTCTGGCAGCCAGTTGAGGGTGGAATGTGGCTGCCCAGGGTCTGAGTGTTTGACACCCAATCCCCAAGGACTTGCATGGGTTGCTGCCCCTAATGAGAGCTGTAAAACTCCCACCCAAAGCACTCCCGTCATCTTCTCTGGAGATGGTCTTCCAAGCTAGAAGCAGCCTTTTCACTCTTTTGTCTTAAATGCATTATTAAGGTGTAATTCACATGTATAAGATTTTTCTGCTCAAAATGTACAATTTAGTGGTTTATAGTACACTCGGGAATTTAATAACCCTCATTAAAACCCAGTGTAAGAGGCTGGAGAGATGAGCTTGCTGCTTTTGTAGAGGAGTAGGGTTTGAATCACAACCATCTGTAACTCTAATTCCAGGGGATATGTCAATCTCTACAGGTCCCCTCAGGTCCTGCATACATGTGGTACACAGACATACAAGCAGGAATTCCATACACATTGGAATGAAAATTAATTTTAAAAAAGACTTTCACAGCTGGGTGTGGCAGGTGCACGCTTTAATCCGAGCACTCAGGGAGGCAGAGGCAGGGGGATCTATGTGAGTTCAAGGCCAGCCTAGTCTACAAAGTAAATCCAGGACAGCCAAGGCTACATAGAGAAACCCTGTCTCAACAAACAAACAAACAAACAAAAAGACTTACAAATCTATTATCAGGTTATTTTCACCATCCAAAAAGGAAACACACACTCATGAGTTCACTGTCCACCACCCTATCCTCGCTCTGGCCTCCTGATGACCACTCATCCACTTTCTGTGGATTTCCCTTTTCTGGGCATTTTGTAGACATGAACTCATACTACATGTGGCTTTTCGTAACATGGTTCTTTCATTGAGAATAATGTTTCTGAGTCCTGTCCACCCGATAGAATGTTCTAGTACTTCATTCCTTTTTATTACAAATATTTCCCTTCCATATGTGTCTATCCATCCGTCAGCTGTTGGGCACAATTTTGTTGGTGAAGCAGGCAACCTCCCATGAGGCTTATGAGAGTTTCATCTGCCTGTGGATGGAGACGTGGCTGGGTCGAGATTACTCAAAGAGTTAAAGGGTGGGATCAATTTTCAGTTGTCACTATTTTAAAATAGCTGGCTCACGCCATGCTGCTTTCCACCGAATGGTGTGTGACGATAATCCTGGCAAGGCTATCAAATATAATAATGTATCTGCAGTACAAATTTCAACACATTATTATAGATTATTATGTGGTTACAAATTTAGGAGTTAATGTATGAAGTGGTCTGAAAGCCATAGAAGCAGAGAACTAATTCAGGTAACTAGGAAATTTTAAATCTGCCTGGGAAAAATCTGTACTCAATATACAGCAAACCGATAGCATACCCGATTTATTTGTAATATCTGATACTGTGTGTTATCGCATCATTCACCAGGGAAGGTACCGGAAAAAAATGAAGAGACAGCATGGTGAGTACCATAAAGTCACAGAGGGTTCTCAGCATGCCACAAGACCCCACATAACACAACACCCAAGCACAAGGCAGAGGCTCTCCGAGTTTCAGGCAGAAAGTGATTACTGTGGATAAGTAAGACTGCCTTCTGTAGTAGAGCTTATTATTAAAATGTCACCCCTTTCACTCACCCTGAAATACCCAGAAATGATACTGGAAAGAGTATTTGCTTAGAGTCAAAGAATGGGAAAAGCTAGAAGGGACACTGCCTCCACATTTCCAGGGTAATTGACAGGAATATTCAAACTACCTTCTAGTGTTATGCTGACTTATTTCAATGTGAAATAAAGACCAGCCATACACAGAGACTTCTGGGATGGGATGGCAGCTGGGGGGGCAGAAGGCTGGGCCAAACCAGACTAAAACCACAAAGGAAAAAGCTAGTTTAGTGTGGAAGTAGAGGCTGTTTTGTCAATAGCTGGATAAACAACCAAATACAAACGATAATTCAAAACCCAACTTTGAAGTAATGTGGTCTTTTAAAAAAATAATGATAACAAAGTTGAATCCTCAGAACTGCTGCTAGCACAATGGAATGAGTATTTTTGTTTTGTGTTTCACACACCATCGAATGACTATCAGTTTCACGAAGAGCAGAACTAGAGAAAACCCATACCCCAAAATGGATGCTAATATAAACCTTTACCAACTATATACATTGCCTTTAGCTTAAGGCCTTGTAGTCAGTCACTGTTACACGTTACACAGAGCAAAACCTCTAAAGATGCACAAGAAACATTTCAAAGCTGGGGGCTGGGGTGGCGGTTGATGTGGGCAGTTTGTTCAACATCCTTCCACAAACTAGAAGCTTCCTGCTCTTATCTTGAAAGCCAGCAACCTCCAAAAAGGGGAAGGAGGGAGGAGGGAGATTGGTGTGCTTGTTCAACAAGGGAGCAAGTGGGCTGGGGGGCGGGGCAGCTTCTGTTGCTTCCTCTCTCCACACCTCACATCTATCCTGTGAGGCAAGGCGGTATTCCCTAAAGATGAGGACCCTGCAGCCTGCAGTGTGAGAAAGTGGGGCGGTGGGATGCATTTGCAGCCTCCTCCTGACTGCACCCTTTGGCTTTCTTGCTCATGTTTTGGGGCAGTAACTCTGTCCTCCCAGTGAAGCTGTAATTCCTTCACAGAAACACTGCCTTCCCTACATTCCCAGCATCCAGGACAATGCTCGCCACGGCCTGGAAATGACATTCTGCAACAGGCAAGAATGATACTGGCAGATTCATTCCTCAAAACTCCTCTCAGTTCTGGGGAGAGCTCCACTGTCTTTTTCAGTCCAGAAAGACCTGGACAGAAATGCCTGGGCCACATCCCTCCCCTGGGAGTGAAGTCTTTGAGAGTGGCCTGAACCGACCTGCTACAGAGGTAGAACTGGGGTTGGTGGTGCCTGAGCACAAAGCCACAACCATTCGGCTTCCATGGAACAGAGAGGGAGGAAGCCGGGCCTACCCTGGGAAAGAGGCTGGTGACAACATCAGAAAAGGGGAAATCCACCCTGAGGAAAGCCTGAGGGCAGGCAAGGTCAGGCCCGGGAAGAGAGCTCCCAGAGGAAGTGACCAACAACCAGGCTTGGCCCTGATGGTTCCCAAGATAGAAGGACCCAGCAAATGGAGTTACTGTGCAGCCAAGCTTCGGAAGAAAGACAATCAGAGTGCAGTGTTACAAGTCCACGGAACTGCCCTGGCTGACGATAAAGTTACAGTTGCTGCTGAGGTGGACAGAGCTGACTAATCTTTCTGAACTCAGACAAAAGCAAAATGCCTTTCTACACACCCTTGGCCCACGCGAATCTTGAGCATTTCTGTGGGTGGCATTTTGCTGCCAGCAGCTTATCTATCTACATTTCTTTTGAATGGGCAATAAGATTTTTAAAAATTATGGAAGCACTTGCAATTTTATTTTAAAACTCCAGTGCACATTTTCTATATACATTGTGTATCTTAAATATGAACATTTCTATGATGGTTGACGATTCCATAAAGCAAAAGGCACACAAAACTCTATGTGGAGAAATACCAGGGACATCGGCCTTGAACAGATCTTACTGTGAATAATCAGACCTGGCCAGGTTCCTCTCTTCTGGCTGCATTCTCTTGAGATTTCGGTTTTCCCAGAAGGCACTGGTAAATGAGTCAAGACCACTGGGGGAGCAAGAATTGCTTTCTACCGTCAGCCATGGTAATCCTCAAGCCCAATCGCTGTACCCATGACTGTACACAGACTGGCCAAACAGCAGCAAACAGCAGGGCATTGCTAGAAATAGGATAGTAACCAAGGCCCTATCAAGAGAACCACAGGCAGTGGAGATGGCTATGCCCAATCCATGCCTCGGGCTTGCCTGCATTCCACCAGACAGCCGCACTGTGCTGCCAGGGGGTGGTGAGTGATGAGAGCGTGTCGTGTTTCTTAATCACTGAGGCTGCAGATTGCACTGATCTCACACTGCCAAGTCTCACAGTTTCCTTGTTTACCTTACAGATACCAGCAAAGCTGCCACTTTGCCATCTTCTGATGCCCTGAAGAAGGGCTGGGAATAGCGGTGAAAGGAGAGGAGGGAAGTCTCCCTACGCAAAGGAGTGTGGTAAGTAAGATGTTCCCCTGCCTACTCCATAGGTACAAGCTGCCCTGCCACAGAGGAGACCTTCCAAACAATGTCACCAAGGTGACATTTTCTCACTATCCATATTGTCAACCCAAGAGAGTCAAGCACGAGTTCTTAAATATTTGGCAATTTCTAGCAATTATTCCCAGGCAAGCCACCTGCCTGCTCTCCACTCAGTACACATGACACTTCTTAACTGCTCACTGTGGGGTGCCCTCTTTGCATAGGGGACTGTGTATATTAGTAAGCTAGGGGAACCCTTGTTTGCAAGCACAGGCCTGGTGTTTTCCATATTGCTACATCTGTCTGCAGGGCTGTGATTGCCCTAGAATTTAGGAGCACGGCAGTTTGGATCTATTCTTTTCGGAGGCACGGGTGCTCTCAGCTCAAGGGGAATGCTAATGCCGTCTTCATCGCTTGGTGCTGGGCCCCCACACTTCTCCAGTAGTGGTAGCAACAATCCCTTTCATGGTCTGGACCTGCCCCTCCCCCTTTTGCGTCTTTTCCCCCAGGAGCTGCTTTCTTGTGGGCTCCCGTCCTTGAAGGTAGAACAGTGTGAACAACCTAGTCAAGCTGCTTTGAGGGGCATCACAAGGACCAGTTCAGTCTCTCAGTAGTACCAAGAGGAGTCGGTTACTAGACCTCAGGGAAACTGAGGCCCAGAGATAGGGTCAGTTGCTACATATAGTCACATCTCCTTGAGCTCT